TGTATAATAGTTTGAAAAATGTTCGTATAAATGAACCATTCTCAGTACCATATCGACGTATACGACGTGTAAAACTAATTAAAATCAATAGGATTGCTAGTAAATAAATTGCAACCCCTGCAATAATGTAGAAAAAACTTAAAAAACCACGTAAAACCTGTAACTGTGGTATTCCATCCCAGTTGCAGTGGTACACGAACAGTGGAATAGTACAGCCAGCAGCTACTGCTAACATTAACATAAGAGCAGAAAAGGATCGCCATCGACTAGTATTTGTTCTACTACTGAAACACACGATTAAGCTCTGTTCAAATGCAACGAATGAACTAAGCCATATACAGCAATAAACAAGCATATTATAAATAATTTTGCCTAAATAACAATTATAAACGAAATATTGGAGTATTGCGATCCCCGTGTGATCTTGATAATAATACAGAGCTCCATAAACTACTAGTATAATACTTGATAGAACTGAAACAATGGAATATGTGGTTAAATAGATACCACAATTAGTGCAACGAATTCGTTTACAGCCAATGAATACTTCGAGAGAAAGAATATTATTCAATAGTGAGAAACACAGACCAATTATGAATACTATTAAGTAGATGTACGCGGTATTGAACTGGTTCGTTCTAAGAGATATAGTTTCACAAAACGTTCCATAATAACACGGAGTACATTTGCAATAAGTCGTATTAGATCTAATATTTACAGCACACTGACCATTGTTATGACAATTGAGGGGGCTCTGATGGCAAAGATCGATCATAACTCAAGTTACCAAACGAAACTAAAAAAAAACAAATATAATCAAATAATCAAGAGAACTGACAATTGGCGTGTAAACAACAGTTTTTTTCTCAAAATGTGAAATAAAAACTCCTTCTTGTCATTCATTCTCTTCTTGTTTAGCATGTTAGACTTATCAAAAAACATTGATTTTGAATAAAATGAAAAACAGAGAAACTGACGAAAAAGGATCGAAGCACATAAGATCACCAGGAATGAATTCGTTTTGAATATTGCGTTCTAAGACGGCTAGCACGTAGTTTGTCGTTCAAGAAATGCAGGAAAAATTCTTCAAAATGCATTCCAAAAGAATTTTAAAAGCATTTTTACACACAAGTTCTTCTATTTTCTGAGCACGATCTATTAAGCAAAAACATGTTTTTAAATGTTCTAAGTTTTTGAATTTTTTTCCATGAGAAGAATACAATCAGGGCGTGGGTTTTAATCTTCCCTTCATTTATATTCACATTCATGTCTACATTCACCTTCCAGATGTATTTCATTTTATAGAAATTGATGCAGAATTGAAATGTTTTGTCAGATGGCTCCGGTCCCAAAAAGAAAAGCAATTTTGTTGTGTAAGGTTATTAGACAGATATTTCACAAATTGAATGACAATTCGGGCGATGGTAAACTAATAGTATTTCTAACCAATACGTCTAGTACCTTCGATGCGATTAAATCTATTTGAATTGATTACAAAACGACTCCGTATAAAAAAAATTTCACATTTGAGTGTAAATTTATTTGAATAATGTGAAAATAAAAAGGTAGTGTCGTTATCCGTTGGCTTACTTTCCAGAATATATAGCAGTTTCAAATATTCTTCAATGTTAAGTAGACTACCTCAAATTCACTCTTTCAGACAAAAATCAAGTGCTTTAAAAATATATGTTGTTCCTAGCTCCAACAAGACCAGATTCATGAAATGAAGGAAGTGGATTTGAAAGAAACATACAAATCGAAGGTGCTATGCATATAACACCAACATCCTTCTTCATTAACAGTGCGTAAATAATCTATAGAAGTATCCTACTTTGCATTACATATGAATATTATGTTAATAAATCACATTGGTATTATTTTCTGTATGATTGATTTTTGGATCTTTTTCGAATTACTAATTAATACTTATCAATGAAAAAACCGATTCATATCGGTAGGAAATGATGTTTTCATTAAGTAAAATATACTTTGAATAAATAGGATTCATCAGCTATGCCTACATATGGCACTTTATCTTCATTCTACTATTAAAAAAAACGAAAGTAAAATTATGTTACTTTACTTTACCCAGTAAAGTAGAGTTAAAGGTCGACCTCTAATTGTGTTCTGATTGTACTTAGATAAAACTCATAGAATTTATATTGATAGAAACTAGCATAGATATTTATGCCATTTGAGTAAGTATTTTTTCCATAGGCTAATGCGGAATAGAATTCTTTCAAGTGCCTGTAGAACTACTATGTAACTGTAAAATCTCCAAAAGAACGAAATGGTTGCATGGGACTGGGTGTGGATATGTTCCTGGCGTTCATATTCACCTACACTCACACCCTAGCTAAAAGAATTTATAAAGAATCTTTTATTTTTATTTCAAATATAAAAAAAGGATTTTGTTTTGTGCTTTTGAGGTTTATCTTCGTTAATATTAACATAAAAATAGGATTCACCGACACTTCCGCGCACGACACTTACGCGCAAAACGAAATTTTTCCTCTCCATGTTAATTTAATAAATCTTTCAAATTTTTCAAAAAACTTTTTATTCAAGGCATATTTAACAAAAGCAAGAATTATATAATTAAAGAAACGACCACAAATAAAGGGTGTGGTTCTGGGTATGGCTGAGACAAAGATTGATAGTCACACCCACACTCGCACCCCACACCTACATCCCACACACACACCACGCTCGCACCGCACACCCAAACTCCACTAACACACCCACATCTCACGCCTCGCACCCAAACCCGCACCACACAGTTTTCTTTTATTCTTAATTATTAATGAGTTTAATTAATCAAATAATATCGAGAGAAAACAATTCATGTTGCGCGCAAGTGTTCTGCGCAGAAATGTCGCTGCGCGGAATTGTCGTGCGCAGAAATGTCGGCACGGAAGTGTCGTGTCACGTAAAAATAGATCTAAATAAAAAGGAGTATCAATAAATTTATTTTGAATAAATATAAGAAAAATGTTTTAATCATATTTATATAATTCAAAGTAAATTAATTAATAAATTATATATAAATAAATACATTTAATAAAAATTTTCAAATGGTCGCTAGAAAAAGGGTGGGGTGTGGGGTGTGGGTGTGGGTGTGGGTGTGGGATGTAGGTATGGGGTGCGAGTGTGGGTGTGGGTGTGGGTGTGGGTGTGGGGTGTGGGTGGGGGGCGTGGGATGTGGGTGTGT